AACACAATTAATTTCTATTCATAATTTAATAAATACTTACTGTTGTACTCAAAAATCACAAATTCACACACTTCACTTAGCCACAACCAAAAAAAAAATAAATAAATAAAATGCACTAACCTTTATGGCATCTTTTTCTGCTACCCTTTGTAGCAATTGGCCTCTGCTTCTTACACGGACCTACTGAAAATAAAGAAACACAAAATTAGTATAATGTGTTCTTAAATTAATTGAGAATATTAAATAAAATTAAAAAAATTTAGTTTTCTAAAAAATTTAAGTTATTGTTGACTTACCCTTTAATCCGGACCCGTGTAGCACGATTGTCTTCTCCATTTCCCCCATTGGCACTTACTAATCACTCGAAATTTTAAAAATCGCGCACTACTAAGTGTCTATTAAGCACTCGAAAATACACAACACTCACTCACTGTGTGTACAGCCCCCAATTCAACACAATTTCACATTGAACCATCAAATAAGTAATAATTTAGCCGGACAAACAGGGTGCGCCAGAACTTGGGCCCCAGAGAAACATTCCATGTAAGGTAGGATACCAAGAACATGGTAAAAATGTTAAAAAAATTCTATCTCTAAAAATTACGAAGTTGTGACAGTTTAAATTTTGCACTTTGACTTTATTTTTTGTGGCTTTACTATATAATTATAAAAAAACATATAAAAAGTGTCAAATGTCAAAAAATAAATGGCAAAATTTTTTGACAGATAAAATTTTTTAAAAATTTTTTTCATGTTCCTGGTATTTTACCTTACTTGAAAATTTTCTCTGGGGCTAAAGCTATCAAAAAGTCATATTTATAATTTGATTGACATTTTTTTTACATTAATAATAATTTTATTTAATTTTTTAAAATAGTACGGAGTGTATGTTTGGTTGCATACGATGTTGACACACATTTTATCTAGTGAAATAATTTTTCATTAGGTTAGAAAATTGTTTCTTTATTTGAGGTTATCATTTTCGTGGTTAGATAAAAAGTTTTCAAGGTGTGATGATATTAAACTACACCTTTTTTATCCATCTCATTGTTTTCGATTTGTGGATTTGTAAAGAAGAGAAATTTTCGTATATTTTTACGACTTTTTAAGGTCTAAATTCATTGTAAGGTCTAAATAAACTCATTTTTTGGGTTAACGGTGTGACTAGTGAGCATTTATTTTTTGATCAAGCTGAAATATGGGGCTGTCTTTGGGAGAATGTTCCGTGATGAAGGAGGTAATCAGTAATTGAATTAATTACAGATTTGTAAGAAATTACCACCTAGGATTTAGGAACTTTTAGGAAAATTACGTTTTTCATGTTGTTTGTAACTAGAATTTTCAGAAGTAGTTTTGTATGCCCCTTGTTGTCGGTTGACGTTTTCTGTCAACTATCAATTAAAGTATCCATAGAAACTGACACGTGACTTAACCTAAATTTTGACATTTGTCACCAGAACCAACCTAACCAAATTTATGGCTACCTATTCACAAATATTCCTAAATCCTAGGGAGTAATTTCTCAAATTAACTTATAATAATTTACAGATATCAAAAACTGAAGAGGCAATTAAGGCATGTTACGTGAGGGTGCAACTCTTGGAAAAAAAGATTGAATCTGATGAAATTCCTAACTCAAAAAAAAACAACATGAAAAAAGAATTACTCGAAGTTCGTAAACTTTTAACCACGAATGAAACCCAACTTTCCCAACTTCATGGCCACAATCGAAAATCGTTTGCATTTGTAGCTGCATTCTGTCTTGTTTGTTTTACAGTTTATGCTTTATATATTTTAGTCCAGGGTCCAGATTTTTAATAAAACAATTCATTATCCTGTGATTTATTTTAATTTAGCAGAATTATAAAAATACTTGGAACTAAAAGAAATTAAGAAACTTAAATAATTGAACTGTGCAGTTTTTATCTGCGCCCTCTTCCTCTGCCCCTGCCTCTGGGGCCGCCTCGGCCACGGCCCCGCCCGCGGCCTCTGGCAGCCCCCCGAGCACTCTCCTTCTTCTTTGCCTTGGCTTTGGGTGTGTCATCAATCAGTAGTGTTTCTAAAGGTAAACTATCGGGTAAAATGTAGTACCGAATGTTGTTCCCCCTCACTGTTAAAGTGTCTAAATTTACAGGATTTCGGTTTTTTACAGTCACTTTTACAGCTTTTAAGTGCGTATTCATGGCCACATCTACGCCGGTTATAGTGCCGTGGACTTGTGTGCCATTTTTCAGCTCCATTGTGACTGTTTCATGACTCAGTTTCATTAAAAACCTGAAAAATGCCCAGATTATAGGTTAGGATGGATATTCACAGAATCACTCAAGGCGACAAAAAAGTGTTAAAGAAAGCACTAAACATTCTCACCTTACTAATTTCATTGTGAAAACTTTGTTATAATTGGAAAAAGTTTAGTTTTTATGCCGGCAAAACACGCTTGGGTTACGTTTTCTTCACCCCCCTTGCCCCTTACAATCAGTGTCGCCAACTAAAATTCAAAAGTCCCCAAAATTTAACAAAAAATAATACAACTTTAAAAAAAAACACGTTAAGTTCTTATTTTTAATTAAACAAACAAAAAAATATTCTAATTATTGCTATCAGTACTACCATAACATTCTTTGGTACAGTTTTTTTTTAAATAGATTTATTACAACATTTATAAAAAAAGACGAAATTGAGCAAACAATTTCTCCAATGGCTGCACAATTAAAAAAATATATCAGTTGTTGCTCTAAAATGTTACCAGTTGTTTCACAAAATCTCTAATTTTTAGACATTACAGTTTTCTTTGCGTAGCTAATACAGACACCTGTAGCTTATGGTATTAAAGTGGCGCTAAATTTAAAAATTATATTTTTTAGGCAGATAATTATTGTTGACTATCAAAATAAAACCAATTTCAACATATTTTTATTATAAATTACTATCAAGCGAACCTTGTAACCTGCACGTAATAATAAAAATTGAAGCAATTCTTTTTTTCTTAATATATTTTATAAAAAATTTCAAATAAAATTTAATTGTGGATTCTAATTACTGGGTGAATGATTTGAAGCGTTTAAACTTACAATTTGTGAGAATTTGTACCTAAATATCTGTATGTGAGTATGTTTTAATTTTCTGCAATTTTTTTTTATTTGCTGTATTTAAAAAAAAAACAAATTAATTATTACTGAGATACCAGTAATAATAATCACATTTTCGCAAGATATCGGGTCCGGTCGCGATTCTGACCTCTGTCGAAAGAACTGAAAAATTCCGGTTAGTTTGAAGTTATCAAAATGTAACACACAAGCCTGATTTTGAAATATTTGTGCAATTTCTTCACAATTTTCTTTCAATAAAACTATTTATTCTTTCAAAAAATTTGAGTACACGAAATGTAAAAATGACAAAGACTTGTAAAGATTGTACAATTGGAAACAAAATACTTTGGTCGTCAATGTCACTTATTGAGTGACATTAAATTGTAAAGCATGCTTTAGGACTGTTAACCTTATTTTTAATTGACAGGTTGTATGTACAGTTGCGGAATCAAAATTTTGGGCAGTCATTTTCACAATGTAAACTCTAAAACAACCTTTACATTAATAACCTCACTTTTTGACGTACTGCCCGAAATTTTTTTTCCGTAACTGTACATATTCTTGATAGGAAAATATAATAGCTTAATTTGAAATTGTCATTCATTCTAACGCAAAAGTGTCAGAAAAGTGACGACCAAAGTATTTTGTCTCCAACTGTACCGTGCGATCGAAAAAAAAATTAGAGTAAGCGACGATTACTATTCTACAGTTGGCAACGCGAAATTTTCCACATTTTCCATATTTTGTAATAACTTTTCTGCTCTAAAGTGAACATTATTTCACTCAAAATGAATAAAACGCGAAGTTGTCAAATTTTTTGTAATCCCTAGATTTTGTTGTCAAAAATCTCTAGAAATCCCTAGGCATTGCCAAATCCATTTAAATTTTAGGTGTTTATTGGATTGCATAAGTAAATAGGAATTTCGAAAAAAGTTTATTTACACATATTTGATTTTTGTTTATAATATAACAAATGAAACATTAATTTAACTAAAGAAAACGGAAACTAATAAAAATTACATATAATAATAATTGGTAATAATATAAAAACTAAGAATATATGTAAGTATATACAATTAGTAGTATAAAACTACATAAAAAATATATTTCGTTGTTCATTTTTTTTAACAAATTAGAATCGATTTCGAAATTAAAACATCTGTTATCTTTTAGCAACATTTTTGTCTGCAGAAAACCACTTAATGTTTCCATTGAAAGTTTATTGCGAATTTTGGTTTTATTTAAATTAATTGTAGAAAAAATTCTTTCTTACGTTTCTTTTGGTTTGCTGCTCTTCTGATGAAAGATGATGGTTTTGATGCCATTTCAACACCGTGAAAGCAGTTTAAAAAGAAATAAATAAAAAGGAGTAAAAAGTCACAAACATATTAATAAAAACAGTACAATTTATTTTCGAATTTTGTTAAATAAACAGTAGGTAATTCCCTCTAAAAAAATTATAGTGATCTTCATAATTCCTATAAACTCGTGTCACGTTTCTTCAACTTTTATTTATAGATGGTGCTGCTGCAATTTTTATCAGTTTTTTTTTACATTTCAATGTGAATTATTAAAAAAAAAATAAACTTGAAACCTTGAACACAAAAACAAACAAAAAGCGTCTCCCAAGATTCCCCCAAGATTGTTCCAAGATTCTAAAAAAATCCCTAGTTTGTGTAAAAAAACTGAAAAAATCCCTTTATCCCTTAGACAGTTTAAAAATCCCTAGATTCGGGCAAAATTTCTAGACCTGGCAACCCTGCTGGTCGGTTGACAACCTGACTGGTAGAGATGGGCAAAATGAAAGAAAAACATCGATGTTACAAACAAAACATTTATTAAACATCAAAAATAAAAAAAAAATAAAAAAAAATAAACATTCTCTACTTATCTAGCAGTTTTTTTTTTTAATGAGTTTAAAAATAATGTTTTTTTTTAAGTCTAGTTCCTTTAATTCTATTTCTTGCTTCGGTCATCGTGTGTCCTACTTTTGAAAATAGTCAAAATTGACAGATTTGTTATTACAGGTCCCTACATTCTCTACGTCGTACATTTTATTAATATCAATTATAAAAAACAGCACCACAGTCAGTACAACAAACTTTATTGAACATAAAAAATAATTTATGAAAATACATAGTTAAATATTAAAAAAAAAAAAACTGAACAAAACATCGAAACCAAACACATCGATTGCTACCGATGTTATGTCATCGACAAATTATCGATGTTGTAAGCAAAAGATCCGATGTTTTAATAACATCGTTGATTCTTGCCCATCTCTACTGACAGGTGACTTAACCTAAATCGTGACACTAGTTACGATATCTTAACAACAGAACTTACAAACGCAGTTCTTTTATTCTTTAAAATAATTATAAAATAAAATAAATAAACAAAATAAAAAAGTTAAATCGTTAATGTCAATAGGAAATGTCATTTTTTTGGGGGAAAATGAGGGAAAAAAAGTAACTAGTTACGTCGCCATATTTGGAGTAAAAATCATTGCCTCTCTCTCTAGCTCATTGGAACATAACCTTGCGGTACTGTATTCTACAGAGTGGTTATAAATGATTTTCATCTAGCCAGCTTTGGATTTTTTTTACATGTAACTTTATTTGTGCCGCTCTACTTTTTTTAAAGCTCTAGTTCTGTCATTAGTGTCACTTATTAATTAATAATAAATCGTTGTTAATTAAACTTTTATTGTTTCAACTAATTTCCAATAATAATTGATAATAATGTATACTTTGGAAGAAAACAAGTTTATAATTGAAGTCTATCCCCTATTTTTGTAAAGCGGTATTTTTTATTTTACATGAAAAATTCACAGCCGGCTCGATGAAAATCATTTATAACCACTTTGTATTTAGTAACTGTAGATATGCCAATACTTTTTTGAAACTTCAAAAAAAAATTCAGAGAAAGTAAAAAAATGAGAAAGAAACAAAAAAAAAGCAATTTTGGCAAAACACTCGAAATCAGTTATCTCGATTGTTGATAGGGCAAATATTGATTTGTCATGGCACCGCCTACTAGATGGCGCCGTGCCCCACGTCCCGACTCTCCCTAATTTAAAGAACGAAGAAATCGCGATAAACTTTGACACGAAATAAACAAACAAAGAGCATTTCGAGTATCAAAATCCAATGGTCCTTTGGACTCGATTCCGACCACCGATTTCACTTCAGTAGTGATTTGTTTGCGTCCAGGTCAGCGGTGCGCAGTGCCACACCACCACACAAAAATCCTCATTAAATTCCAACATTACATAACAGTGTGGCAATACCACCATTGATGTGTTGTTATTATTAATCATCACGATAATAAATTAAAAATTATAATGTCATCGACTCGATTGTTATCATTCCGACGGTGTTTGCCATTGCGCCGATCATCTGCGGCCGGATGGAACCATCCCGAATCAGCTGGTGCCCAGCTCCAGTCACCATCTGGTTCTAGTAGGGGAAGTAGGTGCACACTGGTTAGAACCATGTCTTCGGCGAACCTCACTTTGGACAACCTTAATCCCCAAATCAAGGTCATGGAGTATGCCGTGCGGGGGCCCTTGGTCATTAGGGCGGGGGAAATTGAAAAAGAACTAGAAAAGGTAAAATTTTCATTCATTTCTCAAAGTTGTGCTTTTTTAATCGATCAAAAGCTTGTAAATATTTGGATGACCTCTAGGTGCGCATCAAGGGCGAGGTTAAAAATGGAAAGTTTTTCATTTCACTCATTTTCCTGCCCTATATTGAGTTGCGTAATGCATTGTTTTTTCTATTCGATTTATTACATTGTTAAAATCGGTATTTACTATTGTTTGGCTTTGTGTTTACTTACCTGCTTACATGTTGTTCTATTTGCTATAAACAACACAACAATAAAATATGTATTACGAGTTTTATTTTATTTAATTAATGAGCTGTCTATTAATCGATTTTGAAGTGGTAATTGCTTTTTTTTAACTGAAATTAGTCTTGATTCTGATTCTTATTAGAAAGTGTATTTTGGGTTGCATACACGTAACGTTATACCAGGGTGAGTCAAATTTTATCGACCAAAATGAAACCAAAATTCTGGAATAATAATTTTAATATAATTTAATAACTAATTATGCAGGGTGTGTCAAAACTCGCGTTCCTGAGAAAAATTTCAAGTACGATAAGATACCATGGAAAAAATGTTCAATAAATTCTATGTCAAAAATTTTTGAAATTTGACATTTTTTATGTCTATTTAATGACTCTAATCTTGTATATTTTTTTTATAATTATTTAGTGGTAATAAAATGTTACAATTGTTTCTGCAAAAAAACTCGGGGAATTATTTTTCCAACAGAAATAAATAGAGTCAAAGTGCAAAATTTAAACTCTCATAACTTCGACTTTTTATGGGTAGAGTTTTTTAAATATTTTTTCCATGTTCCTGGTATCTTACATGACATTTTTCTCTGGGGCGCTAATTCTGGCGCACCCCGTATAAATAAAATTAATTTTGTCATTCAATTTTTGAATTATTTGTACGGTTAGTTTTTTTATTTCATTGAATAATTCATTCGTAATTTGGAATTTGCTACATTTTAAGGGTCTAGTGTCAATTTACTTAGTCATATTTTTTAAAAATTTTCATAATCACGCGCACGGGTGATGTTTTTAGTTTGTGTTTCTTCATTTAATTTTGATTCTGTGTTTCTTTTATGATCATGATAGTGATAATAAATTATCATATTTCTTATTTGTAGAATGTTTTTTTTTGCATTGTCATGCAATCTGTTGTTTTTACGTGTTTTATTAATATTTTTTGAATTTGCATTTATTATAATTAAACAGGTTTTCAAAAATTTTAATACTGGGTGGATCGTGACTATGCGTTATGTGGAAATCTCATAGTCATGATATGGAAAATTCTTTTTATATTTTTAGAATTTTTTCAAAAATTGGAACATTTTATTTTGTAATAAATAAATTAAATTGTTACTACTTGTTGATAAATTTCCAAATTTTTTGTAACTTTATTATCTTTATCTGTAGCAATCGTTTTATCTATTGTTTTTGCAATTTATGATTAAACACAAAACAAATAACAATAAAAAACTGAATTGACCTTTTACTAGACCGATAGTGATGTAAGACGAAATCCAGTTATTGACACATTCTTATCTTCAACTTTACATTGGTGTAATAATAAAAATAGTAAAAAATTATAGTCTATAAAAAAATAAATAGTTATTTTTGTATTTTTGTAAGTGTGCAAAACGAGCGAATTTCGGGACAAAAAGGCATTCGAGCGTTAAAAAACATTTATTTATTTCGCTTATACTTATACCAGGGTGAGTCAAATTTTATTGACCCCCAAAACGTCTTTTTCAAATGAAACTAAAATAATTATTACTATAATAATTTTAATATGATAATTATCAATTATACAAATACATAGAAGTGTATTTTGTTATTCAATTTTTTAATTATTTGTAGTTTTTGTTTCATTTTTATTACATCAATCACGCACCCTGAGGTGATGACGTGACTTTGTGTTATGATGTGGAAAAAAAATAATCCTTTTGATATTTTTTTCAAAAATTAGAACATTATATTTTGTAATAAATTAATTAAATACTGATCATTTATCATTTTATACTTATCAAAATTGAATTATTTACTGATCGCTTTATTACTACCTCATTTTAAATAGTAAATTACATTTTTTCTCTAAATGTACATAAAAACTAGTAATTTTTTTAGTCTGTTTGAGCGAAATGTTTGCAAAAAGTGATAATTCACCCAAAAGAAGTTAATTATTATCTTCAGAAAGAAGTGAATTTTATAACAAAAAAGCCAAAAATAACTTAATTTGAGTTAATTAAGTTAGATTTTTTAAAATAAGAATATTTTTGGGACCGTTGTAACGAAATCTTGTGAAACAGGTGAATTTGAAGCAAAAAATCGAGTCTTCAACTCTACTTGCTTAAACGTTAAAAAAGTAAAAAATAACGTCAATTTTTGACCTAATTGGGTCATTTTTTTGTTCGATTTAAACAAAATAGAAAGTGAGTTTACTTGAAAAGGTTAATTTTTATGAAATCTACAGGTTTTTGTTCGAAAACGCTATTTAATTTTCAAATAAATACGATTATATTACTATTATTGTTTTCTCTTAACTCTCTTTCAAATAAATTTCTTGTTTATTGTATTTAAAAAAACTACTGGATGAATATAAAGTATGGAACCAAGCTGTTTTATTTTTAATTATTTGCCTCCGGAAAATAATAATTAATATAAATTAAAGTAATATAAAAATGTGAAACTTCACGTACTAATTTTGAAATGTGAAGTTTTACTCCAAAAAAATATTTTTATTAGTAAATTAAGGATTGACGTTGCGTTATCGAGATAAGGTAATAAAATCTTTGTTGTTACTCGAATTCTAACATTATTTAACTAAATGTTTCTCAAGATAAGATAACTGTTCACGACTAATTTATTTTCATTGTAATTTGGGTTGGCAGTACTGAATTTTATTTTTCAGAAAGAATGTCGGTTATTGACAATTTTCATTTTTTTAATCTGGTTGTGGGTGTCCCAGAAATAATAAGAAACAATTAAGAAATAAAAATAATAAAGTTTTTTTTTAATTTAAGTTTTTATAGAACTTGCTTATAGAATTTTTTTGACTATTTTATGACTTGATAAATTTATACTTTAAATAATTCACTTATTTCTCGAACATTCTGTAGATATATGTGTCATAGAAACATTTTGTTGTTAAGGCATTCGAGCGTTAAAAACGTTATTTCGCACACTTAATATAAACAATGTTTTTTCTACAATATTTATTCCCGTCAGTTTGTGAAACTTCATGTACTAATTTCGAAATGTGAAGCTTAACTCCAAAAAAATATTTTGTTGTTCACGACTAATTTGTTTTCATTGTAATTTGGGTTGGCAGTACTGAATTTTATTTTTTAGGAAATTGACAATTTTCATTTTTTTAATCTGGTTGTGGGTGTCCCAGAAATAATAATAATCTATTAAGAAAAAAAAATATTTTTTTTAATAGGGGGTGAAAAAACCGTTCAACGAAGTAATTAAGGCAAATATTGGCGACTGTCACGCCATGGGCCAAGTGCCCATCACCTTCATCCGTCAAGTTTTGGCCCTCGTGTCGTACCCCCCACTCCTCGACGATCCCACTTTTCCTGAAGATGTCAAAGAAAGAGCAAAAACAATCCTAAAAGGTTGCAGAGGAAGTTCCGTTGGTTCCTACACCGATTCTCCTGGAATTGAAGTAATTCGAAAACATGCAGCCCAATACATCGAAAAACGCGATGGAGGAATTCCTTGTGATTGGCAGAACGTTATCCTCAGTGCAGGTTATTTTTTTGATATACAGTATGATGAAAAAAAGGCGCCCGTGTTAACCCACACGTTATAAGTGATCTTTTATTAAAGACGAATTCGAAGACTAAAATTGGATTTGTGCTCTTATCAGTAAGATATAGACTTTCCTTTTTAGAAAAGAGAAATCTATATAATTAACAGTTTTAAATAATTTCATTGTTAAACTCTAGATTTTGATACAGTTGACGGTGTTCTTAAAAAAATGTGTAAAAAGTCTATTGAAATAAACTTTATTGAAGATGTTAGGATACCATTTCTTGGCTCCAAAGAAAATTTATCAATGTTGCAACATTGCTAATATCCTAAGATACAGAAAATGTCCAAGTAATATTCAATTATTGGAAACGGTAGCAACAAAAAATAAATTTTCAATGTTGTTTGTTCTGTGAAATTTGAACGATTAAAGTCAAAAAGGTTTCCTAGATACGAAAAATACCTGAGTGAAATAGTTTTTTAGTAAAAGAAAATTGTGCAATATTGCCGCTTTGTGCTGTTAGACAAACTGTTTAAATTTTAAAAAGAATCTATTTTTGGAATGATGGTCACAATGTTTCAATAAAAAAGGACGCGCCTGTTTCAATCGTGGACGCCTTTTTTACATCACCCTGTATAATTGTTTTATTTTTACGACGAATGTGATGTTTAGGTGCAAGTGATGCTATCAAGAATGTGTTGAAATTGTTGATTTGTAATGTGGGGGGAAAGAAGCCGGGAGTTATGGTTCCTATTCCTCAGTATCCTCTCTATTCGGCGTCTTTGGCCGAATTCAATATGCACCAAATTGGGTACTTTTTGGACGAGTCGAAGGGCTGGGGATTGGATGTGTCTGAACTCCAGGTATGCAACGCAATTTTGATTAAAATTGAAAAAAAAAATTGGTAAAAATAGTCAATTGGGTATTTTTGCGATTTTATCTTCAAAAACTAAAAAATTCATAATGTTTTAAACTTGACCCTATAACGTTTTATGCACTTATTTGAGTCCTTAAGACCTCTAGAAATGTAAAAAACGTAAAATAGATCAATTTAAAAGTTAAATTTTTTTTTGATTTTTGTTGAGATTTTGGTCGATTTTTGGCACCCGGAGCGGTCTAATGGCAATAACTCCGGACTTATTAGAGATAACCTCTTATATTTAGTACCGTTGGATAGAAAATTMAATTTTCTATCATATATTAAAAATTTCAGTGCTCTACGATGAATAGTTTCGAGAAAATTTCTGATAAAGTCAAAAATATCGAGAATTTAAATCCGACTATAACTTCAAAACTACTACGAATTTTGCAGTTTWTTTYACGCCAATCGATTCCCCGGAACATTTTACATAGGTWTAGGTCAAAATATTATGTCATTGAGACACAGTTTTGCCGCAATTTACAAAATAAAAACTAGTGTTTTTAAACATGTCTCAGATTCAATTTAAATCTATCTTATCCGATAGATTTTGAGGCGCTAATTACGAATTTCCCAATTATTTTGCGCTATCTCCTTTAGTTTCGCCGTAATCGGCGTTTAAAAGTTCAAAATTTTTTGTGTTTGTGTTGAACTTTTTGCTCTAAGTCTTATAGTTTGGCCGTAATCGCCGTTCAAAAATCAAAATTCGTCGAAATTGTGAAACTTTAAACGCGTTTTTCTTCGAAACTATAAGACTTAGAGCAAGAAGCTAAGAACATTAAAAGTAGCTTGAAATTATCTATTTATTGTCGCAAACCGGAAGTCGCTCCGTGTTATGGTTCCGGGTACAGAGCCATTTTTAGTTTTTTTCATAAAAAAATAATATCTCAAAAACTATGAGTCCTAGGTGAAAGCGGTTTATTCAGGCGTATTCTCCGGTTAATTTTACATATAGTACTAGTTTTTCATAAGAATCAAACTTTTTTTATTTTTTTGTCAAAATCGGATATTTCTAGCCTTATTTTTAACTTTATTACTCAATATCTCAAAAATTATGCATCATAGAGTATTTTAACTTGTTGCATCGTGTTCAGCGTGTAATTTTACGTCTAAAAAACCATATTTCAACCATTTTTACGATTTAAGATACATTGACTTTTTTTACAATTTTACTACCGCTCACCTTGAAAAACTCAAAAAAATTGTAATTTTTAAAATCCGATCCAATAAAGTTTTATGCACTTTTTTGAGTCTTTAAGACCTCTAGAAATGTAAAAAGCGTTATATGCAAGAATTTATTTTAAAGTTGTTTTTTTAAATATTTTTGTCGATTTTTGGCACCCGGAGCGGTCTATTGCCCATAATTCCGGACTTATTGGTGATAACCTCTTATGTTTGGTACCGTTGGAAAGATAATTTAATTTTTTTTCATATACAAAATGATCAGTGTTCTGCGATAACTAGTTATCGAGAAAATTTCTCATAAAATAAAGAAAAAATGAAAAAATTATAAATTAAAATATTGTTTTTTTATCACTTCATAACAAAATATTTATTTAACATAAAGACTACTAAAAAACACAAAACATTGCGTTTTTTGTCATATTTCCATTTTTAGCGCTCAATCGACGAAGCGAGAAAAGTCTCCAACCCCCGAGCGATCGTAATCATAAACCCGGGGAACCCCACAGGCCAAGTTCTCTCTAGACAAAACATCGAAGAAATCATCAAATTCGCCTACAAGGAGAAGCTCTTCCTATTCGCCGACGAAGTATACCAAGACAACGTATACGCCGAAGGCTCCCAATTCTATTCGTTCAAGAAGGTAATAGTATATTACATAACGAGCACGGAAAGTGATAAATAACGCACCAACGTGAGTGCTAATATCAAAAAATAGAGTATACGTAGCGTAAATCTAAATATAAAGCCAATGTCTATTAGTCACTCGAAAATACACAACACACAACTAAAATTTCTGAAACAAAACAAAACCATTTATTCTAGAAAAATTAAAGTCTTCTTGGCGATGTTTCTTTAATACGTAAAAAGTCTAAAGTAAATTTGCACTCATTTTAACACTTCATTCTTTAAATTTTAATCAATAGTAGTATATTACATAACGAGCACGGAAAGTGATAAATAACGCACAAGCGGGAAAGTTGCGCGTTAGCCGAGTGCAGGCAATACCGCGAGTGCGTTAGACACTTTCCTGCAAGTTTTGTACACTAGTTTTCCTACGACCATAGATATTTTTTTTCTTACCAACATATTTTTTTTTTTCATAACGATTTATTTTTTATAATGGATACAAAAAAAATTATACGTTGAATGAAAAAATACAAAACATTCGAGTGTGAATTGTGCGTTAGATTTCTAACACACAGTACGAAAACAAATCGCACAGGTTTTTGACCTCGTACGATATTGCCAGTTTTCGCGCATATGTAATTGTGCGTTATGATCTAGTTTCGTATATGGTCGTAGGAAAACCCATTTTTGGGCCCTCTACCAAACTTGAAATTTATTTCACGTAGGTTTTGATCGAGATGGGCAAACCCTATAGTGACATGGAACTGGCAAGTTTCATGTCTTGCTCAAAAGGCTACATGGGCGAGTGTGGCTTGAGAGGGGGCTATGCCGAAGTCATCAACATGGACCCCCAAGTGAAAGCAATGTATTTGAAAGCGATTAGTGCAATGTTGTGTCCCACGGTTTTGGGGCAAGCGACTCTTGACACTATTGTACATCCACCACAGAAGGGCGAACCGAGCTACGAGCTGTTTATGAAGGAGAAACGCGGGGTTCTTGAGTCACTTAAGGTAGGGTGTCACCCCTTAAGATACCAGGAAAATGGAAAAAATGTTTAAAAAATTCCATCTGTCAAAAAATTTTGACATTTATTTTTTGACATTTGACATTTACCCATCACTGGATAATGAAAAATGGCAGAGCAAGTCGCTGTATTATCAACACTGTCAATTTCCTTTAGTGTTGTCAGGTTTGGTGAAATTTCACCAGATTTGGTGATTTTTTAGAATTGTATCAGCAGTTTCAGTAAAAATAATGTATTCTAAATTTTTCGCACATTTTTACTTAAGAACTCAGATATTTTGCGAAACTTTCGCAAAAACAAGTCGAAAAATTACCAAATTAGGTAAGAAAATAGTTTTGTTTGGTTTTTTTTTTTTATGAGATTTCACTCAAAAAGTCGCTAAATTGTCTTTTTTGGAATCTTTTAGTACGAAAATTTACCAAATCAGGCCAAAGAGTGCGTTATTTTGTATTTTTAGAGTTTTTAAGCAGATTTTTAAAATAAAAACAAAGTTTTATGTTTTTTATAATTATTTAATAAAGATACAAAAATTTTGCTAATAAAAGCCACAACTTGCTTCCTCTTCTAATAGCCTGTAGCACAAAAACTTGAATGAATTTTATGAAAAAAAACTTTTTTCGTCTAAAATCAGTTGAAATATAATATAATGAAAAATAGCAGAGCAGGTCGCTGTATTATCAACAGTGTCAATTTCCTTTAGTGTTTTTTTTTGTGACCAACCACATAACATGTCAGAAATACTGTCAAAGATTTCAAAATTTGACGTTTCTGACTCAAATTTCGATTTTTTGGTTACGTTCTTCCTATTTTTTTACATTGTCAGTGTCATCCATCCTATTTCAAAATTAGTGTTGTCAGGTTTGGTGTAATTTCACCATATTTGGTGATTTTTATGCTTAGTCTGGTGATTTTTTAGAAATGTATCTGCAATTTCAGCAAAAATTAATGTATTTTGAATTTTTAGCACGTTTTTACCTAAGAACTCAGATATTTTGAGAAACTTTCTCAAAAACAACTCGAAAAATCACCAAATTAGTTAAGAAAATAGTTTTACTTGTTTTGTTTTAAAAAAATCTAATTAAATTAGATTTCACTCAAAGCGTCAAAAAGTCGCTAAATTAGGTCGAAAAGTTCATTATTTTGTCTTTTTTGGAATCTTTTAGTACATTTTTTAGTCAGAAATAGAACAATTTTGTAAAATTTTGCTAAAAACAAACCGAAAATTCACCAAATCAGGCCAAAAATTGCATTTTTGGAGTTTTTAAGCAGATTTTTGAAATAAATACAAAGTTTTTATAATTATTTAATAAAGATACAAAAATTTTGCTAATAAAAGCCACAACTTGCTTCCTTTTCTAACAGCGTGTAGCAAAAACTTGAATGAATTTTACCCATTTTTTGAAAAAAACTTTTTTTGTCTACAATCAGTGGACAACATTAAATAATGAAAAATGGCAGAGCAGGTCGCTGTATTATCAACAGTGTCAATTTCTTTTAGTGTTTTTTTGTAACTAAGTAGATTACATGTCAGAAAAATTGTCAAAGATGTCAAAATTTGACTTTTCTGACTCAAATTTCGGTTTTTGGTTATGTTTTTCCTATGTTTTTACATTGTCAGTGTCATCCATCCTATTTCAAAATTAGTTTTGTCAGGTTTGGTGAAATTTCACCATATTTGGTGATTTTTATGCTTAGTCTGGTGATTTTTTAGAAATGCAGTTTCATCAGAAATTAATGTATTTTGAATTTTTCGCACGTTTTTACCTAAGAACTCAGATATTTTGAGAATCTTCAAACTCAAAA